CCACCATTGCTCTCTTCCCACCTCCCCCCCCCACCTTTGGCACTCCCCTCCCCCCCAACCTTGCTGCTCTCCCCACCTCCCTACCCATTGAGAGAGCTCTGCCTTTCAACAGCTGTAAGTCTGCTGGATCACAGGAGCTAAGTTAGTACTTCGTTAGTACTTGGATGGGAAGTCAAGGGTTGCTATGTGAAGGACGGTCATGGCAAACCAACTCTGTTAGTCTCTTGCTTAGGAAACCCACAGCGTTGCCATACGTTGCCTGTGGCTTGACAGCGCTTCCCACCACTCATGGTTGGAGAATAAAATTAGGATCTGGAAGACCCGGGTTAAAATCCCCACTCTGCCAAGAGAACCCCCCTAGCATGACATACAGTGGACCTGTGGGACTCACTGCAACACGTTTGGCAAAGGAGGCCAATTTCTTAGATGGCTTCAGAAGGAAGGACTTCTTCATACTACCTGAAGAACTTGGCTTATACCCCACCTTGGTCCCCACTCTGTCTCATGACAAGGGGTGTCTACATTTAGTCACTGTCACCGCACAGCAGTGTTGGGGGAGTAGCGGCAAGGCTCCAGGTTTTCACCGCTCCTGACAGGAGTGATGATCTGGTTGCCTCGCACCTTCCCCGGGCTGAGGGGACAGACAGACAGACAGACAGACAGACAGACGGATTAACACTATGTAGGGGAGCACACAAAACCTACACTGCAGTTATTGTATTTATTTATTTATTTATTAGATTTCTATACCGCCCTCCCAAAGGCTCAGGGCGGTTCACAGCGGCAAAGCCGGGATCTAAAATACAATAAAACACATAATAAAATACAATATTTAAACCACAGTAAGCGACCTAAAACACAATGCTACATCATCAATCAGGTGGAACGATCTTCCAACTTGGTGGCCAGCCATTTCCAGTATGCGGTCTCCCCGCTAAGCTGTTGAACTTCAGCCTGGGCATAACTGTCCCACCTTTGCAGGGCAGCCGATGATATACTATCTCGTTGGTAGGATAGTGGCGGCGGCGGCTCCTACTCAAACGCCTGGTGGAAGAGCTACGTCTTACAGGCCCTGCAGAACTGCACAAGGTCCCGCAGGGCCCGGATCTCCTCCGGGAGCTCATTCCACCAGGTAGGAGCCGCCACCGAAAATGCCCTGGCCCTAGTAGTGGCAAGCTTAACCTCTCGGGGACCCGGAGCTACCAGGAGATGGAAATTCCTCGATCGGAGTTACAAATTAAACCAAGCCACAACACATTACGCAACATTTTGTTACGGGTCCCCTCTCGAGACTATATGTAAACTTCACATAGTGCAAATGAACCGGCAAGACTTAACTGGGGGGCTGGCTGCATTTTTCAGGAGTCCGGTAAAAGTTCCTCGGTTCTCCTGGGCATTGCGTTCAGTGTAAAGACCTTCCTTCACCATTGCAATGGTCTTTCTTTTGTTCCTATAGTGGGGTTTTATAGTATTTTCATCCACTGCGTTGAATTATCTTCTGCTTTTAAACTGCCATTATACTGTTGTTCACATTGTTTCACTGGTACCAAATTTGCATTGTTTTATGGTTTAATTTTGTACTCTGCCTTATGGATAGCCTATAAATAATCTAAATAAATAATAACTTGTCAGATAACTCATAAATAAGTAAACTTGCAGATTACCAACCCTCTGAGATATTGAAGGAAATGAAAATTCAAAGTTCAGTAAAGAAAAGCTACCATGCGCGAATAAAGTAGCCGGCCATCTTTTCCCCATTTGTTCCTTGAAGTCCCACCAGGTCCTACTCTCTTCCCAGTGCATTACTAATTTCAGGCAACTGTTTAAGGATAAATGGGCTGGGTCAGCTGGTATGGAGTTTCGGGCTGGGTTGTCATCAGTATGCTGACGACACCCAGCTGTATCTGTTGATAAGTGGCCTGCTGGAAACTACTCCAGCTACCCTGGCTGAGAGACTGGAAGCAGGGGTTGGATGGCTGAAGCTAAGCTGACCGAAACTTAATCCATCGCAGATGGAGGTCCTGTGGCTGGGTCAGGGTGACCCTGGGGTGGGATGCCAACTTCCCTCTTTTGATGAAGTACCTCTAACGCCAGTGCCAACCGTCAAGAGTCTAGGGGTGATCCTGGATGCCTTCCTGTCAATGGAGGCACGGGTCGCCAATGTAACTAGACTGGCGTTTTTCCAGCTATGCCAGGCTAGGCAATTGGCTCCCTACCTGTTGCGCCAAGACCTAGCCATAGTGATCCATACAACAGTCACCTCCAGATTAGACTACTGTAATTCGCTCTATGCAGGGCTACCCTTGAGGCTGACCCGGATACTCCAGCTGGTCCAGAATGCCTTATGGGAACACCGATGACAGCACTTATTCCATCTGTGCTCCACCAGCTGCACTGGCTTCCAGTTGAATTCTGGGTCAAGGTTATGGTACTGACTTTCAAAGTCCAAAAGGGTACAGGACCA